CCTGTCAGGATCACAAGGTTTATTAAAATGCAACCCACAATACTGCTTTCTGTCACTGGCTAAAACACCACAGTGACTAAAAAACACTGTGTTCATGACTCATGGAAGTCTATAGGAACAGATTTACCTTCTGCTTTCTCATTTAAAGAAGGGCTATGTTTCTGACACTGGGTTTTCATGTACAGATTGCTAACCTGTCACCCTTTGGAACAGACTTTTTTTAGATCGCTATGAAAAGCAGGCAAGGCTGCCACAAAATGCACACCATTTTATTCCCTTGCAAGTTAAAGACAAACTAATCCCTTCCCTTTTGTCCTTTGACATCAGGCATTTTATTTAACTGGCAGAAACACACCCAATGCCTTACTATTTTTGTAACTGATATACTCCATTTATTAATTTCACAGATGATTGTAGCAAAGCAACAAAATATTTTTAGACTGAATAAAATATGATCAATCCCTGTAGCTTGTGGAAACTCTGACTCCTGCCAGCTCTAAGACTTCAGCTTGCAGTGAAAAAATATTGATGCCAGAAGGTCTAGCTGATTGCAAGTACCTGGTACAAAGATTTTGTCCTCTTTCATGCCTGTACAACAGTGCACCAGAAGCCAGGATATTTGAAGATGTCCCTGCTCATTGCAGGGGGGGTTCAACAGATGACCTTCCAACCCAAACAATTCTATGATTCTATGAGAAATTGGATGTTCCAGGGGTGAAACTCTTCAACAGTCTTCCTCTACTCAGGTGGCACGTAGCACTTCTCATTCTGAAGGCTGATACGTACAGCGTAGCTGACAGTGAAATTTTCATCTTCACTACCAAAATCTCATCCTTAAATAACAGCAGGAGCAGGTTCTAGGTGGTTTGCACACCTCAGCTAGAGCAGAGCAAATATATGGGCATACACCTTATGTAAAGGGAATGCCTGCAGGAGAGCAGCAATGCTGCCTCTCCCTTCACTCACACTGTGCACAGGGGGAGTTAGAAGAAAGGGAGAGAGAGGGCCGGAGCTCCTCCAAACCATGGTGATTCCTGTGTAACAGGATAGATTATAAACTAACTTGGACATCAAAGTGTAAACTGATGTTGGCTAGTAATAAATCACCCTAAAGGCTTGTGTCAAACAGTCCCTTCTAGCATTAAGCCATGAAATACATGGCTAGTAACTGATATTTACCACTGTCACTCATTTCTTATTGTCGAGGATAGAATAACAGTGTGTTTAAGATACTGACTGCCTTTTTCCATTATTATATTGGTACCGCCTAGTTATCCTTGTCTGCACCAGTTTTCCTCAGTGTTGTCATTGATTTAACATCTGATTTGCACAAGCATAACTAAACAGAAAATCAGACAACTAGTTTGCATGAATAATTCTCCCTCCTCTCGCCCTTGTGGATGACCAGCGATAAAAGAAGTCTGTATATTGAATAAATGAACATTCAATGCCATCTGCTGGGGTACAAAAAACTCTGCAATACCAGGCTCATGCAGTATGCAGAACTCAAAAGTACAAGAGTGACAAACGTAAAGAGGCTGTTTTGGTAAAGACTGGCTTCTTTCACAGCTGGAAGGGAGGGGTTTGGGATGCTACCCATCCTTCTCACTCCTCAACACAGGGTACAACACTTGGGCAAATGTGAATCTGGTTTTAACTCTCTCCTTGACATAAAAACATTTCAGTCTACAACTGTCCCTTTCTCCTAAGCATTAGAGCATGTTGTAATTATATGTAGGTTATTATGTAGCCACAGATGCAAGATTTCTTCATGCAAGAATTCAGGGTGCAAGGACTGCTTCAACAGTCCAGAACAAGAGCATGTACTGGGCAAGGACATACCATAGCTGTTTTGCATTAAACAGTCACTGGATTAAATGTGTAAAACAGGTTAAGGGCAGAACTTGGCAGCCTCTACTAAAGTGAACTCACTCTCCTGTTCATGAGCAATTTGGCCCTTTAACTCCTGCTCTCCTGGCTATACCATGAGGAAACTTCTATGGCTGACAGCCACTACCTAGAATAGTTTACAACCTGATAGCTGGAATGTTCTCGGTTTTGGACAATGTGAATTTGGAGCTTCTCAAGCTAAAACCAGGAGGCCAATTTCAAGGGCAAATGCTGTGCTACTACTGAAAAGACATCAGCACAACTCATTTTCCAGTTCAGTCTTGAAAGCAGAAGATCAGATTTTCTTCTGCCACTAAAGGAACAAGATATGTTTCTATTCAGAAGTGAGATTTCCAGAACAGGATCCCCAAGCTCACCAGGGTGAGCCCTTACTCAGAAGAGAGAAAGGAGTTCAAGCACATCCTTCTCTGGGTATTTTCTGTGGGCAGGCTTAGACGTGCTAGTGGTTGTGAATCCCATTTCCACACAGCTACTTCCTCATGCATGGCATAGATCAACAAATTCATGGGTAGATTTGCTTCATCTCCTTCATTTTAGTATCTGTAAAATACTGTGCAGTTGGAAGATTATTATTCCTTTACATAACTTATTAGTAATTGTATCATTTTCTACAGAATAACACCTGCTGACATTTTTTTTCTCCATTTCATACAGAAAACAGAAGAACTATTCCTGCTAATACCTGTAATTTTGTAAGTATCACACTGTTCTTCCTAAAATTTTCTTTTTTCTTTCACTTCTTGATGTCTGTTAATACTGTCTTGGCTATAACATCGGTAACAGAAAATGTAATCCTCACTGTTTGCTAATGCAAAATCAAGCATGAGAATTTTGAAGTATATATGAGAACATTTACTTTGTTTCAGTGGGAGCTAGATTTGAGAAGTGACTCACTCACTTGTCAATTCTCCACTTATGGTCTGAATCTAAAATACACCTTTATCATAAGATTATGTGAAAATAACAGGATTCAAGCTGAACAAGTATGTAAGTCATAAACCTCAACGTTTAATATGTAACCAATGCAATTGAAAGCTGAAAAGCTAACAGTACACATTTCAATGTCTTCCCATTTGTATTTGAAAGCTGGTTTTGGGTTTCAGATCAGGCATACAAGAAAAGACTGCAAATACATCACAAGTCAGAGAAAGATTAAAAGAAAGCACACGTCTATTGCTTAATAAGCAAGTTGAACAAGTAAAGGATGACTAAAGAAGGTTGACGCAATCAATACTTTGGCTGCTTCAGGTTTCAGAGAAAGGTTAATTACAATCTGACATTGTATGGGATTAATACCAACTAGAAGGCAGTAATAGCATGGAGCAGAATAGGGAAGGAACAGCTAGGAGAATATTTACTTATGCTTAAGCACTTAAAGAACTATTTGAAGTATTTTCTGAGACATTAATTGATTATATTTGCAAACTCTCCAAGGAGTCCTGAGTTCCTAAAGCAATGGAAAAGAACAGTGGCAACCTCAATTTCTTACAAGAATGAAAGCAAATCCTGAGGTTCATTGGATACCTGGAGAGACTGTTAAGCAAAGTCAGTCTGAAAGCATCTTTTGGAAATAATAAGTCTGATTATGTAAAAAATTGCTAATGTGAACATGAAGAACATCTCATCAACACCTCAAACTAAAGTAATTTCCTTCTCAACAGAAATAAGACCATAATGGGGAGAAAGAAAATGATAGATGTGATGAATCTTAACTCTTCTTAGGTCTTTGACATTTCCCAGAAGGCAGTGTCACAAGTAGAAACCCTGAAACCTGTTCTAAATGAAAACGTGTGAAGTGTTTGCACAATTCAGCCTAGCTGACAGTAGTCTGCTACCGAACTGGAAAGTTATGCAGCAGCAGAGCCTGCAAACCCAGGTGTCCTGCAGGGGTCTGTCTATGCTGTGGTGAAGTTTTTTTTCAGTACTGTTATGAAAAGGCAAACCTCACCCTGAAATGTATTGTCAAGAATACTTCTTGGATGTCTGCCTGATGTTGTATTAAAGATGCATACAAGCTGGAGAGAGTTCACACGAAAATAACTCAGGGGATATGAGGTTCAAAATATTTTAAGTTGGTTGGCAACTTGTGAAAGCTTTAAAGAATTGTACTTGCTTACTGGGAAGACTAAGAAAAAATACAATTATAGGTTGAAATAAAGTGGAGAGTAATCAATTTTTTTAGTGTCCTTTGAGCATAAAACAAATTGGTTTAATTTTTAGCACTCGAAAAAGCATGAACTGAAAGGACAGTTAACTAGTGGAAGAAACCTCAGGAAGCTATTGATTCCCCATTACTAGTGAGTTCAAGAAGAGATTAAAACAACCAGGGAAGATCCAAGTGCGTGGATGCACCTGTACTGTCTCTGGTAGCAAAATGTGACTTACAAAGACACTGGGTGCCCTCACTTGAGGTCACTCAGTAGTAATCTCAGCTCTGTGCTGCATGTGCATGTTTCCTCCTGAAGGAAGCCAGCAGTTACATCCCAGCGTGTAAACAGTGAGTATGAAGGCTGGAGCAGAACTCCAGAAAGTAATCTTGAATAAATCTAGTACAAGTGTATAGATACATCCAGAGACATCCTGCAACACTCTCAGCACCACATTTCTGAGGACTCCACTTGTTGTTTTGTTCGCTTGGACTGCACAGTTGCTAGCACAAATTCCCCAAAACAGTGCATGTTTTTTCTTTAAAGTGTGACATTTTTGATGAGCTAGTTAATATGTTCTTGCAAGTAACATATGTAAACAGTCAGTACACAATAAATACCACATGCATAACATTATAATGAAAGGCACAGTTTCAAATGTCTGCAATAATTATAAAATTAAACACTTATTATATTTTTAAGCGTGGTGACAGGCCAACTTCAGAGAGAAATCTAACCTGTCTCCCAAATGGGTATTTTATTAATCTAAATACAAATTTAAATCCTCAAAACCCTTGCTCAACTACTTTCCATCCCTTCAATTTCCATCAGCAATTTCTCTGTGTACAAAAAAAGTATTGTTCTGGTAATCAAGTATTTCTAAATCTGAAATTAACCTTTATCTTAAATTTGTATCAGCTGTGTATCCCCTCTTTTATACAGAATGAAGATTTGACAAACATGGGCAAAAATGACACACAATCTTCCTCCCAGGTATCTGAGGAAGAAGAAGGTGATTATGAGACTGTGAGTTCTTCCACTCTGGAGGCCATCCATGCTTTGAAAATCCTTCCTGCCAAACCTCTACAAGAATCCGAATATGCAGGTAACTCTTGCTGTCTGCAGGAAGTGAGCCAAACCTAGGGGTAAATAGGAACAGTACAGACTTGGGGTTTTCAGGGATGGGGCATCCCTAGCATCTCTGGGAAACCTTTTCCCATGTCTCACCACCCTCACAATGAAGAATTTTTTCCTGATATCTAATCTAAATCTACATCTACCCTCTTCCAGCAGTCTGATTTTCCATCAGACTGCCAAGCAGATCTGTTCATTACAGCTACGTCTTGCAGCTGACCTCATTGGTCACCCTCTTTTACTGGTTTTTCATGGCAATTGATGAAATGCAGCATGAATGTTCTTTGTGTGGCACATTGCTTTTGTAATTTTAATACTACTTTTGCAGGAGAAATGCTAAGATCCCATTCCTCCTGGAATGTGCAAAATAATGACTGCTCAAACCACAGCCATGTCAGTAAAGCTCACTGCTATTTAAACCTAGAAAAATAACATGGAAAACATATTAATGAGACTTTCTTCCAGATGATAATTTGCAGATGAGAAAATGTAGTATTCTTATTAAAGGCTTTCTCTGCCACTTTCAATAGCGGCAATAAGCAATCACCTGGAGTGTATTTCTCAGGCATTCTTAGCCTTGCAAGATAGCTGCATTAATCAGGTTTGGGTTTACTAAAGCCATTCTAAGTCACATTTAATGCCCAAACATACATATCCAATTAATATCCCGTTTATGGAAGTGAAATATCATCCTAGCTATCCATTGCTCAAAGCCATTATAAACACTCTGTGGCGGTTTTAAATCATTCAATAACGGGGGAAATCCAGGATCAATATATGTATGAAAGCTTGCTCCAGTTCACAACAAAGTCAGCAAATATTTTTGTGGGAGTTTGATATTTAAGCAAATAGGTCAATTTTAACGCAAGTAAATTTATCAGTGTGTGAGCAGATCACAATCAGTCTGCACATTCAGATATTCTTCATTATGTTCCAAACGCTCATTTGCACATTTTAGTTGGAAATCTGAAGTAAATTCCAAATACTGGTTTTAGATTTGGTTAGTAGAATTTGGTTAGTAGAAAAGACTTTCAGTCAGCATCTTTAGTTGCATATGTAAGACTGTCCTGAAATACCAAAAAGACACCATTTTAGTTTTGAGATTTAAAAGAAAACACATTAATCAAAAAGCTCTTTTTTGCCTGCGTGTTATGCCCTGCAACTGTAATGTGGCAGGATACAAGAGTGAAAAAAGGTCTGAAAATGTATTTCAGACAGGCAAAACCCAATGCTAACATCCCACTTTGCCACCTTTCCTAAACAAATAATGATACCCTTGAGGTATAAAATTAATGACTCAAAAACCCATGCTAGTGTACAACCTGTGCATTTCTTTTAGATGGCCACGGGTACAGTATTCATTAAAAGACAAATTGAAAATTAAAAAGCTCTCTAGAGAGTAACCCCCAAAAACACCCTTTGCAAAACCAGAACAACACAATGGCGTTACCAAGAACAAAGTTTCAAATGAAAAACAAATTCACTAATCTATTCACAGTATAGTGAATAGTCTGCCTTAACCATGTACCAGCTTATGAAGACTTTTTTTCTTTTAACCACAGTGAGGAGGTTAACTGTGAAGCTTTCACCAGGGTCATGCTTATGTCCTCAATACAGCTTCTAAAGTAATGGTTAATTTTTTAAAGGAAAAAACTAACAAGCAATAAAAATGGCAAGTTCTGACCCGAAAAACATATTTTGAACATTAAAACCTCTTCTTCTTAAAACATGTATTACTGAATTTCACAGGTTTGATTTTTCTTCCTCTTTTACAGATAAACGTTGTTTAAGGCCTTCAGGTACCACTTCCCCAATGAACAGTCAGCATGCATCTCAGCCCCCTCAATACTCAGCTGTAAGTAAAGATCTTAAACACTATTCTCAAATAGATTTCCCATTTTCTGTAATATCGTTTAAACTTGAGTGCAGTCTATTTACAGTCTTAGCCACATAAAATTCAATTGTACAAAGTCACCCAAGTTCCTGTGATCTGTTCCTGTTTCACTTCGCACCAATGTCCTCATCACCTGCTTTCACTTTTTGATTCTGGGGATCTACCAAGTATTAGGGGCATCCCAGTCAGGAACAGTGCCATTTCCACTAGCCATAGTTTCAAGGACAATGACTAATGACTAACATCACGTCTTTATTTTGTTTTATTAACAGAGACACACATCTGTTCTGGAGGGGAGGAGCACACCAAGTGTTAGAGGTATAATAACAAAATCTACCCGTTTCTGCAATCAGAAATAGAAACTGTTGCTTCCGTATTTAGCTTATGTACATGAGCAGAGATTGCAGATGATAGAGTAGACACGGTTTTCAGAACAGCAGCTGCTTTCCAGAATAATCAAACTGCAATTTTCACAATACTGTTTCAACTATCTGATATCAAACTATTTGCAAAAAAGGAGATAGATTTATCTTATGAGCTCCCTATTCCTCAAGGGGGAGAAAAAAGCAATTCAATTTAATAATCAGGTTTTCCTTTTTCCTACAATCGTTAAGACATAATGGGGAGGTGCAGGGGAAGCCTGTGCGTCCTGAACTGTTCCACAAAAAGACTGCAAGGTCCCTGCTATGCTTTACTTCTCCTTCTCATGATTTCATGGTTTTTGGCTCCCTATCCTTCTCAGGCATTTTGTATTAATACATTGTAAAGTATAACCTAATAACTATTTTTAAATAGTAGTATCAACTTTAGCAACTCCTATTAAGGATTTACTTTTACAATTATTTACAAAAGTAGTTAACTGTTTACAAAATGTAACTATTTACAAAAGCTATCTTCTCCTACTAAGAATACGCTAATTATGTGGTATATCACCTAACTTATACTTTTTCTCCACTGTTTTACCTTTAACTGCAAATTTGCTTCAAAATCCTGTAATTTTGTTTCTTCTGTTTTGTTTCTTGTGGTGAAATCAGAGACAGATTGCTATCTTATTTTTCAAGAATCTAATGAGGTGTCCAACTATTAAATCCTTTAATTGATGGGTTTACTCAATCATAAGATTATTTTAAATGTAGGTTTTCATGTACTTTATTTGATATATTCTAGATGTAAAAATATCTCATAAAGCCTACTACTGAAGGTTTAAATATCTGATTAACCTTGAAAAGGAATTATATCTTTTCTTATGATTTTCAAATCTTTGGACCACATGCTAAATACGGTCAAAAAGAATGCAATTACCAAGCCAGGAAAATATGATCCTTTCTACATTTGCTGTAATGGCTGATTTTCTGAGAGTAAGCTTATACTTGATCAACCAGAGAAATAACACAAAGAATTCCATGCAAAACAGAATTTGTTTATTTTTTCCTTTTAGTAGAAAGAGCCAAATAATTCTTACAGGTTATGAGAAAATAAGCACTATAAGGCTTGCAAAATGAAAGGTTAGATTAACTTTTGTGAGCAAATCCTGATTTAGTTTGTAGAAAAGCTGAATTGAGAGAAATTTGAGTAAGCCAGCTTCAAAATCTGCAGAAATTGCTTGGCAAGGTCCCACTGACAGTTTGCCAGTTTAGATAAAGCTTCAGATTCCACCAGGATTCAGTAGGTTGGATCTACATGCTAGTCTGCCTCCATGACATGCGTACCAACATTAAGATGAACCAAAGACAGTGAAAGCAGGTAAAATAAACTCTGCAGTTTGAGAATGCAACTTATGCATATTTTTAGTACATCCTGAGCTAATAGTGCTTACAGAAAACTCTATTATTTACAGATAATAACTACACCTTTATTAAACATATCTCAACATTTGTTCTCCCGCCCAGTGCTGTTAAGTGGCTTTGCCACAAGATGGCATGAACAGCACGGAAGAATTTTTACAAAGTTATTCTCTAGAATTGTTAAACATTTAAGGTACCATTATTTTATTCAGAGCAACTTGTTATGGTTTACTTGAAGGAGAACCTCCTGCATCTCTGTTTGCATTAGTTAGGATTTCAGTATGTAGGACTTCTGTAAATATTTTCAGAATCTAAATCTAATGCAGAGTAAGATGAGGATCTTATTAGTAGATGTCCTATGTTCATTTAAATAACCAGTCATATTTTGATACATTTATTTGCAAAAAGAAATATATTTACTTTCATTGCTTTTCAAGATTTTTATAAAGTTCTGTACAAAAAAATCAAAACAGACAAGAAAATGCATCCCAAAGAACTTGGCAAGATACATATATAAAGTCTTTAAACAATATTTAAATTTACAATACCTGAACAAATATGACCCTCTAATGTTTCATTCCGAAAGCCAGGAGCAAAACCAAAGTTCACCCTCTTTTATCAAGTATCATAACAATTTTTTAATTTTATTTTATAATTTAAGCTGAAGAAAAAACAACAACAAAAAAAAAAAAAAAACCAAATCAACCAAAACCCACACCAACAACCCAGACTGTTTTTTTTTCTGCTTTAGCTGATTCTTAGTTATGTCTCTTAAGAAATGAGTGTTTATAAGTGATGTTAAAAGATTTATTTTCTGCATCACTGGAAGTTTCTCTATATTTCTGTGATCACCTATTATCTAAGCACACTTAGTTTTGTGTTTTATGTGAAAACACAAACGGTTGAGAATAAGATGGACCTGAACCCATTTGTGAATACATCCTTAAGAAAGACTAAATAAAGTACAGATCAAATAAAGTCTACTTGACTTCTAACAAGCCTTATCCAGAGCCCATCGGCCTTGTGCATAACAGCTAAGAGAGAAAAGGGGCACTTGTGTGACCTCTGTCTCAGAGCTAGGCTGTGACTCGCCTCCATTCCCACACGTAACAACCTCCCACTGAACCTCCAAAGCTTCCAGCTTCTTCCAGGTTCACAGAAATTAACGCTCCCTGTTAAGTAGCAGTAAGAAGATAGAGATGTGAGAGATAGGATGAATGCTGTTCGGACAGCAACACGATCTTGGAGAAGAGTTCTGGTGGTAGAGACACAGCAGAATTGGGGTACTTATTATTATTATTGTTGTTGTTATTATTGTCATTCTATCAACAATACCAGAATAAAGTTATACCTTTATTTGTGAATTATATGGGTAGCACACTATTAACAATTATTAATAAATATTTCCAGGAGAACAAATGAAAATCCATGGACCCCAGGTAAGCAGAATATCTCATCAATTAAATTTTTTGCCATTTAATATATTTTTAAAAGCAGGCTGTAATTTTGCTAGCACTATCTAAAGGCTATGAGAACTCATATCTGCAGTCCTACATTATCTCACTAACTTGCATTCATGGCTTATGTAGATGCCTTTTACCCCTTGGTGATTTTAAAACGGCATATTAAAGTATGATGACGTGTCCTGTAAAACCTTTAACTGTTGACACAGGCATGCCTGCTTCATCTAAACTCTTTACATTTCTCTTAGTAAAACAAGGAAAAAAGCTGACACAGATTTTTGTTTCCTCTCTTTCCCAGGAACCCGTGCCTCCCCCACGGTAAGATCACTTATGAGATTGCTTGCCTGTGGTCCTTGGGGAACACAATGCTAATGAATGCTCACATCCATCTGCACCACTCATGGTAACAGATGACTGGAAGTGAGCCATCATCCTTTTACTACCTGGCTCTGTCTGGACTCCTTTATGTTCTGATATGAAATCAAGGAGAACAAAACATGAGCTGTAAGTGTTCATAGCAGGAGCTCAGGCCTGCATCTTCAAAATCAACTTGGCTGAGCCTCCGACCAAGTCAGACCCCTAGAAATCTTGAATCTGGTTCAACTCAGATTCAGAGTTTTGGGAAAAAAATTCTTCCATCAATCTGTGTTGGTGCCTTAGGCTCTGTTCACCATGATATTACTGACTTCATTGCCCCTTAAATCTTTCTGCCATTTTTTTTTGGTACAAATCTAAATCATGTCCATAGAAATCAAGTAGGATATTGCCACTTACACAAAAGATGAATCAAGCTCTATTCCACAAATGTATTTTTCTGTTATGCCCACTTACAAAAAATCAATCACTTCTTCGAATTTTCAACCCCAAACAATAACTCCTACCATTAAGACATCCTTCCAACAGATTATCCAGGGTGACAAGCTTATTCCTTCATGCCTACACTGACTGCCATAAAAGCTATAAGGAAATTTAAAATATTATTAAAAGTACAGGCATATTTAGATTATTCCTCAAGCTAAAATATGAAGTAAGAGCATAAAAGGACAGCGTAGCTTCACAGTCGCTCCCCAGGAGCCCACCACTGAAGGGCAGGTCTGCAGCACAGCATGAATACACCTCTGGATTGACTCACCCAAGCTCTATGTGCTGGAGCTGGGCTGCAATTGGCTGGGCTCAGAGCACAGGCAGACTGTGCCCACACCTGCCAGAAAGCACTGGGCTGGCATCAGCTGCAAGTCCTCTGGCACAAAGAGCATTTTGTCTATGCGTCTGAACAGCAGCATGCTCCCTGGCTGGACCTTAAACACAGCCATATCCACCCAGAAATATCAGCACTGGAGAGCTGCACTAGGCACACAGTGGTGAAGTGCACAAAAATGGGGTTAAGTGGCATGTAACACAGTAACGTTTTGCAAATGTAGAATATTATCCAATATTACTATTGCTACTGAAGGGCCCCAAGAAGCTCCTGGACCGGAGCTAAGCTCAGCACAAATACACTGAAATGCTCTCAGAAAATTCTAGTGTTTTAATTCTTGCCCTTAGAACACAGTTCCTGTGCCTCCTTTTCTTCCTAATAGTCTTCAAATTCTCCTTTGACTTCCCTAGGCCTCTGAAGACACTGCCAAAGCAGTATCAGCCACTTCCTCCAGAGCCGAAGACAAGCAGCCAGTTCTTTCACACGAGGAAAGCGCTCAGCCAAACTCACACCTTTCCAATATCAGCAAAAGTCACAAGGTAGGGCTGCATTCCTCATTCTCATTCCCCGAGAACCAAAACACTCTCCCCAGTCAAACCACAAGGCTTTACCTCCATCACACCTCTGCTTTTACTTAAGAAAAAGAAAAGTTGTTCTTTTGACAGCTGTGAATAATTGAGAGAAGTGGAATTTAGCGTAATGTGACACTAGCAGTTTTTAAAGAAAAAACTGCCAAAATAATGGTGAAGAAGTAAAGGAGTAGAAAAGTAGGTAGAACTTTTAACGAACACTTTAAGGTTTGTCCTACTTTTTCTTACTAACATTTAGAGGTTTTGCAACCATTTTTAAGCAGAAACAATTGCATCTGCTTAGCACACTTGGTGAATCAAGGGGATGAGGAAATACACTGACCATACCAGAAAAACAGAAATACACTCCACATCCCAAGGACACTGCATTCAGCAAAAGAAATGACTAATCTGTAGCCAGAAGTCTTTCTCCATCCCTTAAGACCAATGAATAGAGGCTATGAGTCACTTCTTGCTCTTTCTATCTTGCTCTCCTCTGTTGTACAACACCTGTGTTCATCCAGCATGCTGACACAGCAGTGTGGATGAGACCTGAAGCACTAACTGCTTATGTCCAGCTGTGTGACCAAGCATCTGTCTGGTTATGAGTCTCATTGCTTTTTTCACACATGTATCTAGTCAGAGGCGCGTCTGCTCTTGCTGTGTGACCAAAATGCACATTCATAAATGGGGATGGTGCAGGACACATGGTAGGAAGACGAATGACGCACATCCAGGGACCACAGGGAAAAACACTCAAATGCCTCTCGACAGAAATCTATTGCAGCCAGAAGTTTGGACACAACTGAGCTGTGTCGATCCTGTCCATTCTTCCTTAAATAGCTTCAATTTCAGTTCATCTGGATGGAATTTTGATTAATTTTACAAAGGTCACTTTAATTCCTGTGAGGGGAAACTTATAAATCAATGAAATAATCTTGTGCTTATAGTTAAGTATATACTTAAGGAGCAAGCTCTAAGTATGGGTTGGTGGGGTTTTTTACTGAATGGTGCTTAAATTCTTTCATGGATTAGCTTCCAAAAACTGTTCGTTAAGACATTTTATTAATATGAATTAGCTTCATATTCAGGTGTGTGTTCTGACCTTCAGCTGCAAAGTTCCCAATCCCCTTCCTTGGTAGGGCAGCACATACATTGAAAGCTCTGTGAGAACTGTTATAAACTGTGTTTGCCAGCAGACATCAGTACACAGAGCACTTGGATTTGAAAGGTCCTATTATAAAGCCAAATTCTGTAATATAAATACGTGTCATTTCTTATTCTAGAAGTAAAAGGCAGCAGCAAAAATCATAATCACCAAACTCCACTTCTCATTGCAGTTATAGATACCAAAATATTTCTAATCGCTTGTTTTGGCTTTTTTTTATAGTACTAGGTTCTTAATCGCATGAGTAAGAGAGCAATGGCACAGTCTAAGACCACACATGATCTGGGGAAGGCACAAAAGCACTTCACTCAAAATATTTCTTGCCCATCTTCAGTCCAGTCACAGCTTTGTAAGGAGAAAACATACATATGAGCTGCAGTGCGGAGGAGTACGGCGCTACAGCCATTATCTGCTAGACTGTAAGCAAAGCTGTCAAACCACAGATGTGATTTAGGAGTCCTGTTTTTCAACAAGATTTGGAGGACTTATAAAATTAAATACATTCTTATTTACACTCTCCATAAATACCATCATAAAAAATAATAATAATAGGTATGTGCAGGATCCTGGAATGTATCTTAGAAGCTTTGGTGTGATTCAAACATTTAATGCCTGCGGTAATCTGGTTGTGCAAGTGACAAGTCCCTGGCAAGACCTGCAAGCACACCTTTATTACCCCTGACCTGTACCACGCACCCAGTGTCCTCCATATAAGCTTTCACACATCAAATAATGACCTTGGAAGACAAGCTAACAAATTTTAGAAGCTAACATAAAAGCAACTATCCAATCTCAAAACAGTTCCTCTTTCTTTAACCCTCCATGCTGATGTTTTCAGCACAGACACCAGGAAGAGAATCATTCTCACCAAACAAGTGTTGAAAAATAGCTCCCAGAGTTTTCTGTACTGTGTCTTCCTTTTGCGCTCTCTCTGATTTGGCAAAATAACTCCGTGTCATTCTCTCTCAGTCCAGGAGGTAAGCTAGAGCAGGGACTAAATCCTGGAGCCTTCAAAAAACTGCTCAAAGCTTATCCACACCTTATGTTGCTAAAAAACTTCTAAAAGCTGGTCCTCTGCCTCTTTTATTACAAGATACATACTGCTAAAAGGCATGAGTGTTCACCATACCCAAGACATCTCACAAAAGATGTTACAATCAATACATTGTCACTTTTTGTGGGGAGAGTATTTTCTGATGAATCTTCTCAGGAAAGGAAAATATTCCTGTTGATCAGCATGTCAGAAGGCAGAAACATACCTAAACACTTACTTGAACCAGGAACATGAGGAGCACTCTCCATTCCTCTTTTCCTGCTTGCACCTCTTTTCCTCTACACTTTCCATTCTGCCTCTCTAAATGTTTCACTTCTGAAACCCTTCAGTTTTAAAGGAAGTTATCTCCATTTATAGTTGACTTTAAAGTTCATAATAAGACTTTTTGGCATGAGATGAGAAGTGTTGAAGAAAGCTAATAATCATTCATATCTCTTCTCCCCGCCTCCCAGAATAAATCCTTAATAAAGTCTTCTCTCATTTACCATAATGAATTCAGTGGATGCAATTCTTTTTTATGGAAGCCCATAACCTTCTCCTGCAAAAAATTTATGGAAAAAAATAACCAGCCTCTGCACTTCTATAGCAGTAATAAAATCTTTCTCTTGCCAAGGGCTGTTAATTTTCAGTGATGATGTAATCAAAGTATTTAAGTACCAAAAATTATTTTTATTTTATGATAATGAAATGGTTTGTATATAATTCTTTCTTTTCCAGACATCTATCTGTTAAAGAACTAAACAAAGTAAGTAATCATCTTTGTATATATTAGGACCATAAAAACCATACACATTTAACGGTTGCACAGCTTCTCTTGTTACAGTATTTTAGCCTATTTGGTAAAAATACTATAATGATCATATTAGCTTTGGGTCATAAAAGTACCTTTAACGTGTGCAGCATTTTCAATACCACTACTTTCCAAATGGTAGATCAGTTCCTGAAGTTGCTTGCAGAAATAAAAATATACATACAGTGCAACGCTACCTTCCCAAGTATCCACATAAAAGCCTATCTGGCAACTGCCAGATGTTGCAGATGCCTAGGAACGATGAACAGTGAGAGAGACATTATCTTCCAGAGGAATAGAGATTCCACGGCTTTTTAAAAGCAGAAAACTAAAATTATAAGGGCAATAGAAGAGTATAATAGTATTACTTTGATGTAAATACAAGGCTACCTCAAAAATAAGATGATCCTATTCAATAAGAGAAATAAAAATCAAGACATTTTCTATCTAGAATGAACTTCATCTGTTATCCCTCAGCTCCTTTCTCCCTCTCCTCCCCTTTCTGCTTCCCTAGGGCCTCTCACAAGCCCTGTGCAGCTGGCTGTGTCCAGAGGGCAGAATCTGAGAGGCGTGATACTGGGAAGGCACCTATAGGCATATATAAAGCAGAAAGCTATAACTTTTACAGAGACTGGGCAAAGACAAGTGATTTGGTTTTTTTTAACTTCAGATCCCAATTTCTGCAAAAAATTTTAACAAGTTCCTTCACTTTCTGCTTGGGCCAATGAAGTAAAGCAGAGGTTCAGCATTAAAATGGATTAGATACGGCAAGTGGTTTCCTGTAAGATGCATTAAGAGATACAGTCCCTACAATAATGTTCTATTTACTGCACTAATACATTTGTATTGTATCAGCTTTTTATCTCATTGCAAGGGAAAGGAGGAAAGAAAGGAACTCCTATAGTAGTTAAGCCCAGTCATTTCCTGCCACAGCAGGCTGTAGCACAAATCTATACTATAGACTGGTCTAGCTCTAACTTTCAAATCCTTTGAGTTTTTCTCCTCCACAGTTCTGACTGGGAAGCTGTCCCAGAAGACCTCACTCCTCCTCCTGTGGTTAGAAACATTTTGTTTTAAACATATTGGTTTGATTGCAATATTGTAATTAATTGTAAAAAAAAATTATTTATTAGCAAAAAGTTTTTTGCTTTGTCATGTCCTAGATGCTGACTTATTACAAACAAGATACGAAAACACACCCAAGAACAATAACTGTCTTACTTTTGTAACTAATATTTCTGGTTGGGCACTGTACAGCTGCAGAGATACTGCAGCTCCTAACAGGCTCTTAGTTTGGCTACATCTTAAGGAGAAATATTGTGTATCTCATAACACGGAAAAGATTTAATTTGGATCACTTCTCCTTCATGCAGATCCAAAGAGAGAAATAGTTTCAGTGTAACCCAGAGGAGAAGACAGTGTGCCCTTGTCAGGGTTTCATAAACCAACGGCAGGTCGATAGGTTTGAGGGTAGGAATACCCTTCACCAGGATCCAGACAGGCTGTCAGGAAAGGGTCAAAAGGAACTCAATTGAAAAGAACAAATAAAAAATCCTGCCCTCAGATGGACTGGCTCCCTTGGCAGCAGCTCTGCTTTAAAGGACCTGGGGACCATAGGCTGAACTTGAGCCAATGGTGTGTCCTTGGTGCCATAAAGCTAAGAGCGTACCGAGCTGTATCAACAGAAGCATAGCCAAGAGATCAAGGGAAGGGTCTATTCCCTTTTACTCATCACTCACTAGGCAACACCTGGAGTACTTTACAAAGGTACAGCTGACAGAGAGGAGTTGGTCAGCAGAGGCTCACCAGTACAGCCAGGGAGCACAGCACCTCCCTGTGAAATGAGGCTGGTGAGGCTGGGCTTTGGGGGAACCCAATAGCCTGCCAGTGCCTAAGGGATGACTACCAAGAAGGCACAGCATGATACGTTATAGGGTGCACAGTGGAAGTACTAGAGGCAATGATCTTGAGATGAGGTTACAAACAGAAGTAAGGAGGAAAAATTAATTTTGAGGGTATTTATAAGGATGCTGGAACAGGTTGCCCAGAGAGGCTGTGAAATCTGGAGGTTTGCAAGATCCAGCTGGTCAAAGCTCATCCTACAGTTCACCGTGCTTTAAGCAGGAGCTTGGACTAGACACCTGCCTAGGTCCCTTCCGACCTGAATGAGACTATGAATTTCCAAGTAATGGGTTAATATTATTGAGGAAGTAACCTTTAAGGAAGGCTCAAAGTGCAACATCTACAAAGAGTAAAACATTCTACCCTTTAATATGAATGCATTATAGTCTTGCATGTAACAAATTAACAAAATCATTACTATTCCCATATGAATCAAAATAATACAGAAACACAGTGAATTTATGAGTCAAACTCCAGTCTTCAGCTACCTGCCTATCATTCACTTCTTTGTAATATAATATGCTGAATTAAGACTCACCACATAGTGATTTTGAACAAAGTATCTGCCATGACAGTCAAAATAATTGTACTGTCAGTTAAGGAGCCTGAAATTACTGATTTTAATCTTTGGATACTGTATCTCCAGTCAATCAAAATCAATCTCTTGATTTAATACAAGATCAATGAAGGAAAACCATATTGTAAGTTAAACTGATGCACAACAGTCAATATGAAATGGTGATCATTGCAGTAAACCATTATGTTCACTTATACACCTAAAAATTCAGTTCTCATTGCCAGTGGACTGAGATCAGCATTCCGCCTGAGTTTTTGACAAAGTGATCACATATTAATGATTGAATGCCTATATATTGTTTTAAAATTAAAAGGGAGTTGGGCCTGTTGGGGTAAGTTCAAGTTGGTAATCAAAAGAAAAATATTTACTCTCTATGTTATTTTATATAGGCACCTGGAAGAGAACAAGGTTAGTATTTAATACTATGGTATTAATTTGTTTGTCTTTCCTTTATATTCCAAAAACAAAATATTCTGTCATTAAAATTCCACCTGAAGTAATCAGGATAGGCCCCTGACATCTATCCTGCTATGTAGCATCAGGCTGTCTGGCTCTATAGTTTATGAGTAAGAGACATCCCTTGGGTATGTGTCTGCTGAGAACAGAGAGATTTAGAGTGACCTCAAGAGTTGGGGAAGATGTAGTGGAAAAGGGGAATTAAGTTGGCATTAACTACAGCCATCTGAGGAACCAGGGTATTATATTTGTTCTAAGCAAATCAAAGTCTTAAGGTTCTGGGGAAAATAAGAGTGCTGGAACCTAAATCTGAGGGAAGGATATCCATAAGAGAAAAGGATTAATTCGATCTTCATAGAGAATATTTCTCTTTATCTTGCTCTTGTCCCATAATATGAGGGCGAGAATTTTGAAAGAAAGTTTTTTAATAGCTCTAGGTTTTTAAAGCTACAAAACAAAATAAAAATGTTTTGAAAACATGCCAATTCCTTAGAGGTACATTTAGCTTTTTAAAAACAGCTTAAGCCACTCACTGTGCACATACGCATGGAAGGTCCGTTAGAAAAAAATGTTGCTCTGACATACTTTGAAGATAGATACAGGCTACATGATTTTTATGCTGTTTATACCTTCATGTTAATGAGTTCATAATTTCCTCTGGCATTTCCTTTTGCAGATTAAGGCAGTTTCCTGATTTTCAGCTTGAAATAGTATTGACTGCATTAATACATTCAATGCCTATCTATCCTGTCCTATAAAAAGGATTTATGAACCCTCCATATACTTCTAGTACACCATTCTACATTATTTACCATTATGGTAAGCCATATTTGGCACCAGCAAAATCTGCAACATTTGGTACCAGCATAAATGCTTCCCACTGATATCGTTAGCTGACTCACTTAAGCCAGACTGATGCAACCTACAAGGTTTTCCTATTGAACTGCCTCCTCCTCATGTATGAATTTACTTAATTTATTTCACAGAAGTTACTAGATACTGTCAAAGTTACACATTTGAGGAAATAAGTTCTTATTCTTTTTATGAATAGTTACAGATTTGGGGAAGAAACCTGAAATATATTTTCAAGCACAACAGTATAAATCAAAGCAACATCCTGAAGCCAGGTAGGAATATAAGAATTTCATGAGTTTGTACTACATGCTTCAAGGACTAAACATTCTACCCTAGAAAATAATACTTCCCTATGCAATAAAAGCAAGATATCACTTTCTGATGCCATGTAGTGATATATTATGTCTTGCCCTCATGCATGACAAGAACCATCTTAGGGAATTGCTTTCAAGCTATTGTAATTGCACATTCAATTTTTATCTTTAATAGCACACTACTGTATTACATTTTTGCCTCACTTTCTATGATAGCGTGTTAGATATACTGTATAAAGCAGTTCTGCTATCTCCAGCCTCAACATTTCCTCTCCCCTTTATTTCCTATTTTTATAAACAAAGAATACACACCTGGCCTTTCAAAGTGCAATTATTCTTCCACAGACAAATGCCACAGTTGCTCGTATTTTTCTTTTCTAACCTACACAAATCTTTCTTTTCTAAATGTGCTTTATGTTCTTTTATGCTGTAAATGTGCTTTTTTAAATGTGCTATATCCTCCTAAAGTACTCAACAAAAAACAGAAGTATAGGGTAAAGTATATAGGAAATATACGAATGATTCAACATCTTTCCTAGACAAATACTGAATCTTACATCTAGCCTTGTTTACAATGATGGCATTTCTCCAAGATGAAATCATTGTCTGGAGTAAATGTGACAGTATGTGTGACCCCTACTATTTTGTTTCTTCTTGTGTGGCACCAGTGGCTCTCTTATGTGAAGTTACTTGATTGGTGCTCTTCCCAGTGTAACTATTCTAATTAATAGCACAACAAAATACCAGCTGGGTACTCAGCAGCAGTCTAGAAAATCAGAAAGGACAGGGAACAACTGATCCCTGGGTCTCCCTATAGAAGGATGGGGAACATCAGGTGAAATTAGCAGGGAACACGCTCAAAATGAACAAAAGCAAATTGTGCTTCACTACACATGCAGCTAAAATGTGAAACTCTTGCCAAATTCTCTTGCAGAGGGTAAATATTTATATAGCTTCAAAAAGTGGCTCATGAAATTAATGGGAAATCTATCAAGAGATGCTAAATAAAAAATGACCACCCAAAACTCAGGAAGGCCCAAAGCTGCAATTAGTAGAGGAAGGGGTATTCTGGGGAAGCACGGCTATGCATTGCTCTCTAATTTGCCTCTTAAATACTGCTGCTAACAGAAATATTTTTCTGACGTTACTTTCATTCATGGCTTTTTCCTAGCCTTCAGTGCAAGCAGAGCTCTGAAAACGTTTGCAGCTCAGGTAAGAACTGGAGATTGCTTTGAAAACTAGCTCAGGCACGGATAAATAAGAAACAGATCCATGTTTCTATGTGTGTTTGTCTACACTGAGGATTTTCAATGCATGAAGTTAGTACAAAGGGAACGTTAAAGCAAACCAGCAGAAAACGAGTAAAACAATGGCATGGGCAATAGCAGTGAATAAACAGGCAGTTACTTGCACAGCTACACCCCATGCCCAACCTTGAATGCAAGTGTAGAATCACTGTAGCCCCCAAACCCAGAATGGGAATTTAGACAAGCTACTAAAGGACAATGGGGAGAGGAAGAGAAGGCAAATTGCTTGGGCACAGAAAAAGCCACAGAGAGAGTGCATGCAGTTGTGAGCACAACTGTGTCTGCTTTTCCAGGCAGAAATTAAATCAGCTGGGCTAAATGAAAGCTACAGATATTCAGGACATTATAGAGTGGTTACTATGGGTTTAATGCCTTGTGTAAACAAATAAACTGACCTTTGATGAAATTGCTTTAGATTTATCCCAGATTCCTAGAGGGACGGACTTATAGGTGCCATTATCAGGCAGGTCTGTCAAATAATTATGTTTGAAAATAGGACTTCCTCTGGACTGTGTGGCTTTACCTAAGGGAACATCCTGGAATTCAACATTAATATTGTTCAGTTTTGGTCCCCACTATACAAATAAGAGCTGTTGTTAACTCCATCCCCGCCAGACCCAGAACATGAGCATTTCAAGATTATTTTCCACTTCTTGTCCCACAGGTTAACACATACGAGAAAAAAATTGCACAGATCATACACAGCACCAGTCACAAAGCAAACACGGTCCTAGCCATGGGGTCTCTTCTAAAAATAAAGTATCTGAGGATAGCCATCAAAAATGCGATGTGGACACAAATGCCAAAATCAGGAGCCAAGAAACTGAAGGGTAACATACACTGTGACAGCTCAAACTGATTACAGAAACAAAATGTAGATGTCTGGTCCCAGACCCTTTTTACAGTGATTTCATTTCTGAATGCACCAATTGACTGCTGAAGATTATGGCTGTTTGTCTACTGAGATCAGCAGATAATTTTTACTGTCTTAAAAACAAATGTAATGCTCTTATAAACCAGAACATGTTAAATGTATGTAGGAAACAAGGGAACACAGTGAAAATTATTATTCTTCTGTAAAAGAATGTCTTCCACATAAGTTTTCTTTAGTATACTGTCATATACAATGTACAGGCAGAAAAATAATAAACTGATAAGCATGAACAATAGATAAAACATAATGAAATACCACTTTGGCAAACAGTGCTGTCTCTTGTGACAGTAACCAGAAGTAAAAGATGAAAGCCATTGATAATAATTTTTCTCATTTACTCTTAAAATAGACAGTAGGTCATTTCTCCCACCAGCACTGCATGAAACAAACAAAAATATTGTCTATTGTAGACCAGGATATGACAGTTTTTATCTTCAATTAACCATTTTATCCCCATGTCACATACCTGCAAACTGCAGTTGACCTATACATTGAAAGCAAGCCTTTGCTGTTCTACGGCTATTTCCACTGAGTCCTCTTTGGTCTCAGCCCAACCCTCCCACATTACCCCACGCTTTGTGTTCCTTACCCATGCAAGCCTCCTAGCGACCTGGCAAGCCGAGTCCAGCTGGGAAATGGCAGCCCTAAGCCTACAGACAGTAAATCATGTTTGATTTGGGAAGGCAGTTTTCAGATACATGCACTCCCTGAGTCAGTTGCCATCCCAGCAGTGAAATATGAACTCGGAACACACAGCCAGGGACCATCACCTTCATCTTTTTCTTATCACAAGAGCAACCTCACTTCTTGGTCTTAAATTTTTTAATTGAAACAAGCTTCAGAGCACACTGAAGTTCATCAGCATGGCAGAACCTCTGAGTCCTTTAAGGTTTCAACTGCTTGGTAGAAATAATGCTAGCTGGTAATGGGATAATGAAGGGCTTTAATACGATCCAACATAACAGCAGCTCAGATCCAACACAAATAGAAGGGGCTCAAAAGGTGACAGTAGAACAGAATGAACCATTACACTTCTTCTACATTTATCATTTTATTTAGCATTTGCTATTTTATTAGTAGTTCATCTTGAATGTTTTGCTATGTGCACAAGAACCTGGCAGAGTGATGTCAATTAAAAACCACCAGGAAACCAATGTGTTAAATCTCTTGGGGCATGAATCTGAAATCACTGGTGCTGTGTTAGCACAAGACTACTCATGACTGACTGCTCTAAATTTTAAAGGTTAATATCACAATAGTGTATTTCCAAAATGTAAATGCTATTCTCAGGCTTACTAAATAAAACTGAGGGAAAAATGAAACTGTGACTTAAGGTTAAAAACTACAACTTTTTTTCTTCTGAATTTACTTTTTCAGGGTCCATGTTAAACCTAGCAAATTTGTCAGTGAAGAAGTCACCATCTCCTACACAGTACACAGCATGCAAAACTACATCAAAACATTCACTTGTAAAACAGGAAATGCAATTCCCTACCCAACCCACTGAAAAGGTAAAGAACACGGCTTGATGGAGACGGGTTTTTAGAACGTAGGATTATCCCTATAGGGCGCACACCCATACAGCATTAAGAACCCATGTCTTCTGCAAACCCAGGAAGTTAAATGGTCTGGAAGCTGTTGGTATTCAGCACCCTTGAAAACAGTCCAATATGAGTTCTTCAAGCCACTGATAAGAATTTAGATGTATAATTTGATTCAGATTTCCTAAAGTACTCCTCAATGGAGATGCATTACAATTATTTTTATAAACTGCACTAAACTTGCTTTAAATGCAGATTAGATATAATTTGTTTTCACCAGCTTTTGCTTCTGCCAGCTGTGGTTAATTTCTGTACACTGATTATGCTATCTTAAAATTAAGGACTTAAACAAATATGAATGGTACATTGGAGAATATGGTCGCCATGAAGCAGAGAAAGCACTGTTACAGGAAAACACTGTGAGTATACAATTTGTCCCAAATCCTGGGGTGTAAACTCTTGGCAAAAACACTTGTAAACTGTCCACAATGGTTTAAAAGTGTTGTTGTGAGCTAACCATACAATCCATAATTTAAATCTGTGTCATTCAGGATGAGACATTCTTGGTTAGAGATTGTTCAAAGAAATCAAAAACTGAACCATATGTTTTGGTTGTCTATTACGGAAGAAGAGTATACAACATTAAAGTACGTTTTCTGGAAGACAGCCAACAATACGCACTGGGAACAGGGCTTAGAGGAGATGATGTAAGTAAAATCCAATCTACTGTTACAAGTCTATTGCTTTTATGTCACATTTCACAAGTTCTTAATACTAAAGATTAGTGACAAACTCTCCCATGTAACAAACTTGCTGTTTCATTGAAGTTTCTTTCACAATAGTCTCATTTCAAGTGTGTCTCAAAGTTTCATCAACTTTAAAATAAAAATTTGAAAATAAATTTTATGCACCAGGCTCAAATTAGCTTTAAATCAACGTAAAAATTTTCCAAGTACTTATAGAATACTTCTACTTACTTTAAGTAACACCTGCAAAGTAAAGAGGAAAGTCCTCCCTTTACAGCTATACGTATATTTTGCATATTTTTTGTTACAAATACAAGCAGCTACTTTAAAATAGATATAACTCCACGTATCTGACAGCAAAGCCTATGGCTATTATTGCCGTACAGTATTTCTTATTGCATGTTTCATACACCAAAAGGGGAATAGTATCTTTTTTGAAAAAGTTAGGAAATAGGACAAAAGTTGTCATGGATGTTCAGAAGCAATTAAATCATGTAAGTCCCCACCAACCATTTTTTTAGATACAGCAAATTTCAATTAGGAAATCTCTTTAGGTTAGTAATACTTTTTTATATAATTAAATTCAATTATGTTCATGAGAAGTGTCCAATTGACTTCTATATCATTAAATAACAAATACTGTATCTGCATGTCTTTCACACACACAAAAAAAAAGTTAAACCTGAAATAGCCATCTCTATAAAGATGTGATACAAAAAAATTAGAAGAAACTCAAAAAGTGCTCAGCTGTGCAGCAAAAGAGCAAAGCAACAACTGCCCATGAGTATTACTAGCTTTGTAAACGAGACAGAAATCCAGCTCAGGTGAAATAGCAAAGCCTCTGTAGCTGCATCTTCAATTATGTGCTTTTCATGCATGTCAATACTTTCAAAACTTTCCTGTAGATAGACTTAAAAAAACCTGAAATCAAAACTGACCCAAGCTAACTTAAAAAATCCGGCAGGTCCAAGCTTTACGTTTGGATTATTACTATAAAATACGGGATAGAATACATGAGCTTTCAAGATGAAGAGCAAGGATTACGGACAAGCTGTTCTTCAGGAACATTGTTTTAATAATGGAAAAACCCCATCCTTCATTGTTCAAGTGTACCAAAACAGTTTGGGAAGCAGAAGGGTAGAACAAATCGAGAACTGTACTACAGCACTGCATCATCCTGGCATTGCGGCAGCAAACCATCACAGCTTCTGTAAAACACCAGCTCATTTCTGAACTGAACCTCCCAGATAAGTTTCTGAAGGTTTACAATGATTCAGAGGAAAGCAAGTTTAGTTTTCTGTGGTTCTTGCATTGTTTAGTCTTCCTTTAACGGCCCTGATAAAAGAAGCCTCAATCACAAACAACAACTGGATAGAAGAATTGAACTAAAATACGGTACACTACAGGATAATGTATGTATGGTACACTACAGAACAGAGACCTAAAACTAAACTTTAATAACTTTAACAATTAATTGTTAAATTAAATTACCTGAATAACATGTAAAAGAAAGTTATCTGAAAACATGTAAACATTTTTTTCTGAACTAAAAGGAAGGACAACACAATCCCTACCCACCTCAGGAAATAGCAAAATATATGAATTTGTTCCAATGTGTGCACAGAAAGTACATATCTTGAGCAGCGGGTCTGGACTGACAACAGTCAAATTGGAAAGTTACAATTCCAGAATAAGGATTTCAGGCATCTAGTTAACAAGCAACAGTGTATCTAAGACTTGGCTCTACCAGGTCAAACCTGTAATCATGACACATTACCTTAAGCCTTCTTTTTTGATCATTTTTTAATTCAGAAATCCTCCCATAGATCAACTACAACACAAGAATTTCAGAACTGCTTTGTTAGTCTGCTGTGTAGTGCCAGGGAGCCACAGAGATGACAGACTCCTATTTCTATGCATTATTCTCAGCAGCAGACATGAAAATAGAATTAACTGGGCATGAAGAACATGGGCAATCATGAACAATCAGTGGCACCAACCTTGCTCAGATCTACTTCCACCTGAAGCAGCCTCAAAGGATTCACAAAAACGCTCTTGAAAACTGCCTCCTCAGCTTCTACGGCTTGCTTAAGGTTCTTATATCAAGAGGATGAAAACAATTTGTAATGCTGTGAATTACAGCAAAATTGCTGCCTGTACTTTTCCAGTGCCTGTTAAAACACTTTTCAGAGTGCTCTAAATTGTTCCTCCACAGAGAAACCCTTTGTTACACTGCATTTTGCAGTATGCGATGCAGACAGACCAGCTGCTTTATCTAGGATAGCTGAATATTCCCTCTTAACCTGTCAAAGAGAAAGAAACCTAAACAACAATAAACAGGTGCAGACCTATTACATTTCTCTCCAGTTGGTGATTTTATTCAGAGGTTCAGCTCTGCAGTATGTTTGCACTTTTGGATTAGTCTATTTTCATCCACTAAAATTATGTTTTTCCTTACACATACTATTCAAAGTTTTCCCTGTCCTATTGCAACTTCTGATTTTTCATGTGCAGTTTACGAGATGTTAACACTTTGTATCATCAAAGATTATTTTTTATTAACGATTATTTTTTAAAATTTATTTTAAATTCAACTTTCATGAGGGCTTTCATCATTAGTTCTTACAGAGCCATAAAGGGTCTGTAAGACCATAAAGGGGGGAAAAAGCATTGCTCATCAGGCTTTTACGTTAGAAGTAACTGAAGTTCCACACAGCCAATTAGTATCAAGCTAGAATATAATGAAATACATTTGGGGGGGGAGGGGAAATCCACCACCATGTTAGTGGAGCTGTATCTTTTGTTAGCAATTTAGCCACAGATGTTCACACCTACATACATATTTAACATATTAAACTCAGCTCACAAAAGGCCAAATTACATAAAACTATAAAGATCAGGTCCCAGACGGATTGTATGCATGCAATATAAGCATTTACATTCCAAACTGCTGTCCTGAGCACCCTTTACTTGGCTGCTGCCTTCTCTGCTCTAGTCAGTTTCAATATTAAAGATCCAGAGATCCCTGTAACAATGCTTATTTCATATACATAGTTCTTTTGAAGAAATCAAAACCTTGCTCACATTTAAAGCTGATCATGACAAAAAAAGTATTTTTATCTCCCTTGCAAAACTAGATCTGCCACACACAAAATACATGTTTTAGCATGTCTGAAGCATGAGGCTGAGCTCACAATGCAGTAACTGAAAACCAAAGGCAGAAGTAGGCTCCTCTTCAATTCAGTGCCTGTTGGACGCAAAAGCTTAGAGCACAGCCTGATCTAGGTCTCTGGATCTTGCTGTTCTGGCCACAGATATTTCCTCCATCCTCACCATGCCCTATCACCATTTGCAGCTAATTTTCATTTTCAAAACATCAGTCACACAAGTCTCACGATTTCAATTCAGTTCATTTCAAAGTGAGTCAAAGTGAGATGGTAGCTCCATCTACCTTCATCAGCCATTAAATTGGCCTGACTCACCAGCATAGATGAGGGAGCACTTTCACCATGCCTTCCACTGACAGCAGTATGTCAAAAGCTACCACCAGGAAAATGGACTCTGATCACTTCTCAGGGGATGCTCCACAGCTTAAATGACAGTTCAAGGATGACTTCGTCTCACTCAGAATGTGCAACATGTAGTCCGGAGTCCTACCACCACCCCAACACAATTCAAAACTATACCTTTCACAAGCAATCCATGAGACCTTTTTCCTATCTTGCCAGAACAGTCTGGAGACCAAAGCTAGGACATTCCTATGACAGCAGAGATCGATTTGAGTCTCTCCAGACAATGAAGGGAAAATAATGAATCAAAGTATTGAGTTTTCTTCATCTTTACGCCTAACAAAGCGTAGGGTGCCATTAAAAGAGCTGAAAACACAAACTTCCGGACTATCAGTGCTCATCACCATGATGTCTAAGTCAATTTCATGTCCTAGCAGCCATGAAGAGAATCAGAGCTTAGTATTTTAACTCTAACTCTGAGTACAGGATGAAATAAAAGAGGAAGAAAAAAAGAAAAAGCAAACTAAGTAAAATTTGAGACATTTTTTCCTTCATTACCAAAGAGCTACAGCTTAAAGGTACACTGATGAATAATGTGACACAAGCCAAGTTAAATTTCCAAAGCAGGTGAACAATCACAGTAAGACTTTTTACTTTTCCAACCAACAAAAAACAATAGAAAATAGGACAAGAACTGGTACTGACAAAGAGTAAGATTAGAATTTAAAAAAAAAAAAAAAAAAAAAGGATTACTTTGGTTTGGCATGAAATGCAAATCACAGGTTCCCCTAGATGTCTAATAGCAACAGTGACCTTGAACAGAAGACAAAGACAAAACAGCTCAGTGGAAAAAATGTATAGAAGTAAAAATAATCAAAACTAAATTTTGAAAATACACTGGTTTTGAGATCAAATAGTCTTCATTTTAAAATAATTCAGGAACAATTTCATCTCATCTTAGATTTAATCAGTTTCTTGTTAGCTAGGTGTGGATCAGTTGGAGGTGACAGAGACTGCCATGAGATATATCTACTATCACATACACAATGAATACCATGCCTACAGTAAACGTGATATAACACAGATACAGGATAAGTATTAATGTACCAGTAAGCTTTCATTACTGTGTACAGTTCTAGTGATGTCATACAAATGAGTCTAAAGACTAGCTCAAGAGGAGAAATAGTAGTGTGATGAGAGCATAGGAAAGCAAACCATTTAAACTGAAGCACTGCTAACTACTGGAATGGCAGGATTAAAAGACTCCCACACCAGGACAGATGATTTTACCTCACATAGCTTTCCGTTGCTGTTTGATCAGTTCAGGAATCTTGAACCACGCCTTTATCATTTTAGGAATGAGCCTGGAGGATGCAATTTTTTTGAATACCAGAAAACAAGACTAAAACTCTGTGGAGACCTTTCTTGTTCCATAAAGTAACAGGATTTTATAGCAACTTTCTCAGTAAACTGAATAGGAAAATAAAAGGTATATTTAAAAAGGTACAAAAAAACCTGCAGTGTAAAGTATTATGTATTGTTAATTAAGTGTAACTTTTGACAGTGAGTAATGATTTATATTTGCTGTATCTTTTAAAAATCTGTGATTACATCTGGCATTACAAATTTTTACATGTGATACTGCATTCTCAGGGCTTACACATGCTCCGCTTTTGCCCTAAGCAGCCAGCTGCTTTCTCCTACAGAAGAGACACACACAAAGGAAATAAAAGGATTAAAATCTGGTGCTTTTCCTTTTATGATTGCTTCTATATAATCTAATTTAATCTAATATAAACTAATCTAATCTAATCTAACCACAATTCTATGCAAAGTATTTCCTATTTCAAATACTGTCATTTGCAAGTCTTTTAACGGTATAGATAAAACCATCTAGCAATTTCATTTTCAGCCACTGATTACAATTTTTCTTTCTCCCTCAGAAATTTAATTCTGTAAAAGAGATCATTGACTTCTACAAATGTGTTCCCATCACACTCATTGATGGAAAGGATAAGTCAGGAACGCAGAGAGAACAATGTTACCTTAGATATCCATTCCAGTTGCGCAAAAGATGTTTTCTGCCTTAATGTCACCGATTTGTTTGTATAGAACAATTATTTGAATACCTCAAAAACCAGATGAGCCTTTGAGTGAAGAGCGCCCCATAATATTATGAACCACTCTAAATTGTTCCACTGAAAATTCCTCTCCAACTGAGAACACAGATCAACTCAATTTTTTTATTCATTTGTTTTTAACTTCAAGGATACAGGTAAAGTATATGCCACTATACTAATTCACAGAAAATTGTTAAGAGACTGATAGAGCAATTTGCTTATCTTGCACTCTACCTTCTGACACAGGATGAAAACTGAACTCAGTCTTACTTACTTAAATGTTACTGAAGCTGTTAGTAGCAAACTTAATAAAGCATTCTAGTAACATAAAAAGTATTCTTGCTTCTAAAAATACACGTGAAATGCTACTTATCTGAGTCCTCACTGTTTAACAATTTCATTCAGTGTGCGTTATGTGTTTGCAAAAGAACCTGTGCTCAGCAGCCACTGAAGTCAGTGGGTGTCAGATGATGCTCACAGGTATCGGAGCAGATTATAAAGCTAGTTTTAATTATGTAAATTCTATTACTTAACTAACACTTATTCTTTAGCTTAAGTAGCAGATACTCCATATCAGAGCCTTCAAACACCTGGATAGTAAAACCATTATGCAAACAGTCCCTTTGAATTCATACCACGTGCAAATAATAGAGATAAAAATCATCAGTAGAAACTGCAAATGCGTTTCAAACTCATCATAAAAGCACGTTCCAGTGTGTATTTTTAGAGTTAAAAAACACATTAATGTTTATTCATATAATTTGAAGTTTGGGAGGCTTAACTAAATTCATCTTAAATATGACAGCAAACTTCAGTATCCTTCAAACACCTTTTGGCAAAACAAAGCTGTTATTTGAATCTTCCTTTCCAAGCAAGTTAGTGGCACTCATTAAAAATAACAGGGGAAACTACCCCTAGTCTCTCACTTAATGCTTTTGTGATGGAAGTGAAAGAACATCCCAACCCTTGGTTGCCTCTGTGCAAACCATCCATAATCTTCCTTTTTAAGCACACTCAGAAGTTTAACTAGGCAATTGGAATATATCAAGAATATATCCTTACCGAATAGGAACAAGAAGAATAAAAACATTCAAGCACAAAACATAACATTCCAATTTATGATGTACTATGTAGTGGCACAAACTAACTCTAAAAAAAAAAAAAAAAAAAGGGAAATCAGCAGTTGCTTATCTCCTCACAACCTTTTTATTTCTTAATGCTGCTCCACAATGCAAAAGAAAATTCACTGTAATTATTTCTCTCAAACCACTGAGACTGTTAAACTTGAAAAAAATTATTCTGACATGACATTATCTAAAAATAAGAATGAAAACGAACAAAACAGAAGCTGCTAAGTAGAGTTTGGCAGAGCTCATAAAAGGAAAAGAGGCATGTTGTAATCTGCTTTAAGAGTTTCACAGCCACTATCCAATTTAACTGACAAAAGGTTTTCATGTTAAAACATACAAAAAAAATTCTAAATTAAATCTATGATTTAATCATTAAATCATATCTACGATTTAATTTAGATAACAGATAATGGCAGTGACATAAAAAGCTTCACAGATGTTTACTAAAACAGTAAACCTGCTTACAAAAGACAAGCATTGCTAGTATACTTAAACCATCTCAAGTTTATAAAGCTGAGCAGCAACACCTCCTTTATGCCCCCTCAGCACAGCTTTCATGAAGAATGTTCTAATTTTGCCAGTGAAAACTCATACGAAGCAAATTCAAAACTATTTATTTAGTAGCCTCTACAGAAACAAAATTAATTCAAACAGGAACCTGAACTGAAGGAGTTAAAACAAAGGAGTAACTTTAACCATGTTTTTTTCTTATGTTAACAATTTCAATATTTATTACATGTGACATGCTGTAATTTTAAAACGGAAGCTGTTTTCACAACTGAAAATGCAAATAGTACTGTTACGTTTGGCATCAAAGTATATGAAGTGAAAAAAACCCTCTAGTGTACTCATCTAAAAAAATAGAATTCCATTTGAATACAAAATGAGAACTGTCATATCATTTTTCTTGACAAAACTGATAAAAGAAAATTTGTTCTGTGGAACAGGTTAGTCTGATACAAATAATACAAAAGTTTTCCATGTGCACATGATGAAAAAGGTCTGTCTTAAAGCACCAACTATCTGAAGGACTTTAACACTGTATTGCAAAACGATGGGAAAGCAATGTTTTAACTAGTTTCGAAAATAAGCCTCAGTCAGATGTAGTTTTAAAATATATACATTTCAATGCAGATACAGTACATACTTTATCAAAACAATGTATAATCTGCTGAAGTATATAAAAAAAATATTCCCAGCTTAAACTGTTTACAAAACTGCACCAACAGTGAAAAGAGTTAGGGACTACGAGCTTTTCACGAGTAGTCCCAGTTAAAACATACAACACACATCCAGCATTAGAGTCAGTATTGATTTTCATACCTGTAAAACTGTAAGAAGCTATTTTAACTGTAAATATGTGCTTCAACATAGTTCATCCTATATGGTTTTAAAATTATTTAAAATTGACAAGATGAATAAAAACATGTATTGTTCATGTACAGAAACATTAGACTTCAGTATCATCCATCCCTCTTCTTCACTAAAAACTTCAAATTTGGCCCTGATTTAGTAAAGTGTTCAAGCAACTGAGTGATGTTTACACTGCACTGAAGTTGGTAGATACACGTTAGACATACTATATGTAACTAGGCACATGCTTGTATGAATTAAGACCTACAAAAAAATATATTCTAACAATATCTAAATTCTTAAGAAGGATGAAAGATTGCACTGAAAATCTGGTTCAACACTGTCAATGTAAAAGCTGTGCAGCACCGTTTCTCATTTTGAAAGTCTTCATCTTCAGCAAGTTCTGCCTGTAAACAAGCATTAACTCACCAACTAGAGTTCTAACCAAATGCCCTATTATGCAGATGTGTTTCTATCAGGCTATACACACATGGTGGTAGAGGGTTTATGTTTGGCTATTACTTCCTCAGATTTCAGAACAGCCTTGAGTCCATATAAAGAAAAGCTTCACTCCTATCAGTCCAAGCCTGACAATACTCCGCCTCTGCCTATTCAGAACAAAGATGGTTCAGAAAGCTCACAGTGTCCTTCCTGCTCTCTCACATCTACCCAATACAGGCTAGGTATAAACTAAGTATTAAACAAAATTAAACTTTTCAGTGCTATCTGACCTAGTGGGAGCAACTCTGATACCCCCGATTGTTCATTTGCACCCTTGTATCTCCTCTGAAGTCAGCAGAAGTGGTTTTGTTTCACTGAAACAGAGTACTTGAAGTTTTACGTTTTATATGTGGTGCTTAAGTTGCCACTAAAACCTATCATACACAATTGCTGCCCACAGAGGATCAGAAGTGCTTTTCAGTATATGTATGCTCAATCTCTGAAACACCATGCTGTAATAAAACAATCTAACCCCTGTTAAATTTACAAAGATATCATCATCTAGGATTTTAATCAACACAGACCTAGCACAAACGAGTTACAGCACAGTATCCTAGCACACTGAGAATGGTAACTAGAAAAATGTTTGCATAGCAAATCTTTTCCAAATTTCTCCTGTGGACAGACGAAGCTGAACTCCAATACAGTTTTCAGACATGAGAGTGCAAAGTAGTGCTTAATCCTATCAGCTTTTCTGTATCTCTAACTCTGCTGTCTTCATCCACTTTGCTCACAGTAAATACCTTTTGGCAAAACAAAGCTGTTATTTGAATCTTCCTTTCCAAGCAAGTTAGTGGCACTCATTAAAAATAACAGGGGAAACTTCCCCTGGTCTCTCACTTAATGCTTTTGCGATGGAAGAGAAAGAACATCCCAACCCTTGGTTGCCTCTATCAAGTGCCGCTGTCCATGACTTATCCATTCTTCTTGGTCCATATATACTCTTCCACAAAACCAACACTTAAACATACACTGAAGTGTTCCAGCTGGTGAAGTTTCCACCACTTGGTAGTTGTTTTTATGGGTCTTTTTTAGTTTCATTTTTAGCATACTCCGTTTTTTTGCTTGATTTCCTGTCTCAATGTTCTGAAGAGTAAGACGCTTTCGATAACGTTTGACACCAAGACAACTACTTGTCCTTTCAGACAAAACTACTTTCAGGACTTGACCTTTATACTTGTTGATAGTCTTCATGACATTAATTATCTCTGGCGTGTCAACATCAGGATGGTTTAGTACCACGACTGGCTGGTTACGACGAGGGCATTTTATCAACTGATTTGTTCTCAGAGGGACAAGCCGAAGACGTCTTGCTGTCAAAAGATATGACATGTCAGAACTTGAACTGTTTTCTGACTGAGTTCTTGTTTTCCTCCTAGGAAGCTCCCTGAAGCTTGCTTGTTTTACCTTGTTTTTGGGACCTAGTTGGCTTTTTGAATAGTGTTTGCTTTGCTTACTCACATTACTGCTTTTCTGCAACAGTACACCGGTTTGCTTGCTATTGTTTTTAACACTTGCCTCTCGCTTTGGTCTTTTCCTGAGTGATATACTTCGGGACTCAGCATTCATCTCACTCTGATTAGGTAAACATGGCAAATTATTGCTAGCTGTCTCAGAAACACTGACAGGAACCGGGCGAGGCAGAAACATTTCATTGCAATACACAGAAGCAGCTGATGTTTCACTCCTGTTTTCTATTCCATTTGAGTTTTGACTGCTAGTAGCATTCAGCACTCTCAGCATTGTTCCTTTAGGGATAAACACTGGAGTAGCAACATGTGAATTCTTAGTTACCCTGTTTTTAGATGTACTTGCAAATGTAACCAGCTGATCTTTACTGTGTTCTTCACTACTAATCACACTGTTTCCACCATGCACTTGAGGTAAAGATGCAGGCTGTTGTTCCACTTCAGAGGCAGGAACACAGCTCACTGAATTTTCTTGTGGGGAAATCACCTTTTTACTAGAAGCTTGACATCTCAAAGG